CAAGAAGGACTTCACGAGATACCTGCAGTGACCGTCGAGAACAGAAACACAGCTGTATTTCTTACTTTCTCACCGGCCACTCTGGGTTTCTCCCGACGTCCTCGTTGGAACTGATCTTACTGATCCAACCAGTCCTATCCCTATACAGACTGATTGACTGATCGACACCCACTGTTACACCCCTCCATTGATATCTAACTCCTCCCCAAGAGGAACAACAAACAACAACAGAGTTCCTGTAAGGACTTGAGTTGGTTACAAGTTGGATACTGCCTCAGCTTTTTCGTCGGAGTTACTGAGCATAGTTTCCTTCCTTGGACACCAGGCTGCCTTGGCGTCGTTCAGCCTTCTCCCTGGGATATCCAACTCCTCTCCATAGGATCTCACCATCACAAGAACCAACTACAAAAGTTGCCCCTCTGGTTATAACAGATTGTGCAACACCTTCATTGAAACAGCCACCTCGCTGCTCCTATCTGCCTCTCCTACTGAGTGTGGTGCTCCAAAGGATTGATCCCCAGACAGACCTGCAGCGTGGTGTGGCATAGATATTAATACATAACTGACCCTTCTTCTCTACTTGATTGTTGAGTGACTCTTCAGCACATTTGTACTTTCGAGCTGAATTGAGTACCCTCTCCACATCTTGGCTTGACTCTCTGTTGCATCGGTCACTACAACAGATTGAGTACCAGCCTTTGAGACAACACAGTGTCATCCAGTAACACAGCCCCATCAACCAACAACACCCCTTGATACCCCCACCACTGCCTATACTGGCTATAGCGTGACTTCTCCAGTTTTCCCTGAAAGAATCCCTAACAGCCTTTGGCTCTGATACCATCTTCTCCTGCAGGTAGTGGTATACCTGCAACAGACTTGGCCACAGCCTTTGATCCAGTGGCAACAACAACCCAACAACTTGATATAAACCTTGATTACCAGTGCCTCAGTGCATTGCCCCTTGAATAAACCCCTCTACATCAATCCTCTCGCCACCTCACAAGCAACCTCCATTGCTTGCGTTGAAGCCACGACACTACAGTCAACACTCCAGGATACACAACTCTCCCACCAACCCACCTACCACCCACCATGACTTCCCCATGTCTACCCACAACTTCACTCAAACCCAAGGTCCTCCCAGACATCCCCCCACTCCCACACTTCACCCAACCAACCACATCCACCATCCTCCGCAGACTACACAACACCACTCCCCAGATGATCAGCCAACAGCTCCTAGAGCATGCAGCCATCTTGAGGATCACACCCTTCCGAATCACACCCTACCCTATCAGGGAGGATGCCTTTGTTCTCACCCTTGAACAGAGGCACGCCTCTATCCTACAACACACCATCAACCATGCTACATCCCAACTCCTACAACAACACTCCAACACCAACAGGATCTCCCCTCCTGCCCCTGGCACCAGCCCACTCCCAGTGCCCCCTTATCCTCCTCCTATTGACTCAACAACCCCTCGAACAGCCCACAACACTCCAGCAGCCACTGTGCCTCCCTCCTGGGAATCACAGACTGCCAGTGTGTCATTTGACCCCATCTTCTGCCTGCTTGTTGGCCTCTATCTAACAATTTTTGTGCATTGGATGGGTTACACCCTGCTCTGGTCCAGCCTGAGGAGTACCACCTCCTACGGGCTCTGCTGGCATCTTGCCTTGCATGCCAAGGCACTTGCCACAGCTTGGGACCTGATCACCCAGACACACTTACTGGCGAGCACTCTTTGGTCTGGCAATCTATCTGGTCCTTACGGCCCCTTTGGTGATAATGGTTTCAATACCGACAAAATCCTGTGTAAGCCCCTGTAACCCAGGTTTTGCGCTGCAGGTTCCCTATCAATGTGCTCACCCCCCTACCCAGGGCATCTGTCTACTTGGTGCTGGCTCCACGTTGGGCCAGTGGATGAGGCCATGTTGATTGGGCAAACAAGTAGATGACGACTCAGCTAGGTGGGGATCTCCCCCACCACTTGCCCGCGTCAATAAAGTCACTCCGTGGCCAATAGCTTGTTAAGCTAAATGAGTAATTTAACCCTCAGGCTTCCTACACGGCTGTAGAAAGCCTACGTGCACCCTACATACGTTTTGCACGTAGGCTTCCTATACGGCTGTAGAAGCCTATGTGCAACGTACATACCTATTGCACGTAGACTTTCTACAGCCGTGTATGATTTGTACTTGCACGCTACAGAGGTAGTATAGTACTGTATTTTATATAGTAAACATGACTAATCGGTCCTCTTTCTTCGTGGTACTGGTACATGGGAGCTAGCTAGTAGCCAGGAGTCAAGTCCTGATTTACCTCTCATTCAACCTCTTCTCAATACCTAGAGTAACACCGACAACCTTTCTACACCAGGCGCATGGTCAATAACTGACTGACTCTATCCTGGACAACATGTGATCCCATGCCCAGTGCCCAGGAGTAGTAGCTCGAGCAACGACTCCCTCGAAAAGGCGAGGGGAAAACCAATTTACCTCTACTAGTGGTGTGCGTTATAGACATACCGGTATCTAGTAGACAAAAAAACTGAACGTCTAATAACGGATTCAGATGAGATGTGCTTGAGGACGACCCACGAGCTAAGGCCCGGGTATTTCCCACAGTCAAGTCTGCTCACCGGCCACACTGGCCTCCTGAGAGGGTGCGACGCCTGTTAGCTATCTAAGGATTTGTACACTGAGGTCAGAGCCATGATTCACCACAAATCACGAGCTCTTTGTTGAAGAGAGTTGGGGTTGGTAAAGAAGTTTGAGGGGGGTAGGAGGGGTAAGGAAAAAGGGATGGTAGTTATGTCCGACTATCCTATTTCCAGGGCTGTGGTATAGTGACTCTCTTGTAACACAGGTTCCCATGTGTTCAAAAATTGAATGATGACTGGTGTATTCAGTTGCATGCGCGATTCGAGCGGTATCTAGTAGACAAAGAAAGTATTGACATGGTCACTACAGTCCCTCGAGGCCCCTCAAACCTACTTCTGTAGCTGCCTTCTGTAATCCCTGTTGCAGTGCCTCCTTTGTTTGCTTCTTCTTGTCATTCAACTCGCTTTTCGGCTGATTCCAATTGCTGCTCTAGTTCAGAAAACAGTTTCCTGTGTTGCTTTCGAAAAATGAATTCTTTCTCTTCTGGTGTTAGTGGAATCCCTTCCTTCTGAGGAGGCGGCTCATGCTCAAAGCTGCCAACTAGAGCTGCCTTGTCAAGATTGCTTGGGTACTCAGTGTCGGCTGGCTGGGAACCCTGTAGCCCGGCATCCCTTGTCTCTTTTTACCCCAATACATACCAGCATTTTCATGGTCACTGTGGGCATGCATTTTGGGGGCTGCAGCCATGCATGTAGATGCCACATTTGAATGACTGTGAATACGTCCACAGCTTCAGGACGTTCTTCCATGACAGCCCAGCCAAAGTGCTGAATTCTCAGCACCGTCTTCATTCATTTTTACGACTTTCATGGTTTGTTTCATCTGTCATGCAAATGAACCGTGGGCCGTTGGAATTTTTCTGGTTTCAAGTTACCAGCCACAAGGCTTTGCTGAAAGCAAGACATCAGCATCCCACGATCTGGTAGGTAGCCACTCGTGGCATCTTGGTTGAATCTCGGGGTTTGGAACTATGTGGAGTGTTCCCCGTCAAGGAAGATGAAACAAATGATCTCTGGTAGGAGAAGGGGCTCGCCTTGCTGCTTTGAATCCCCAGGTTGGTAACATCAATACAGTGTTGTTCTTTACGTGGCTGGCCGGCCGGCCCATTGCACCAAGCTGTCAAAGGCTTGATCAGCATTGGCCAGCACAATGACAAATTCACCATTAACAAGTAAGGTCAGGGTTGGTGGAATGCGTGAAGATATTATCATAGTAATTGGTTTGTTTTCCTGTCATGACATCCAGACAATCCAGAACTGGTCTTTTTGCTGTTTTCTGTTTTCTGCAGAATTTTGGTCAATCAAAATTGTGTTTGCTGTCGCTGAGCTGAACTATTGGTTCTTTGAAATGCTGATAGTTGGCATTGGCAGAGCCCCATCAAGGATGATGAGAACTTGGTCCAACGCACTATGCATTGTTCGTGTGCTTAAGGATCGTTTCTTCACTTTCGCTCCTGACGACGATGGAGGCTGATGTATTAGCTCGGATGTCTAGCTAGCTGCCTGAGACCAGAAACTTGTTACCAGAGAGATCGTCTTGTGGGGTGGATCCAAAAACACAGAGAAGTATAAGCAGCATGCACAACGGCATCCACAGTTAGTTGGCACTTGCCGTACCCTGATGTGAAAGGTCTGGCCAATAATGGTAGTATTGCGTTCGCACGAGTTGCGAAATCACTTTGTGGGAGAGGGATCCGAGGATCGATCCTCCCCATGCTCCCGCGAATACAAATGGTGGCATAGCACCCTACCTAATTCTTTTGGTCATGTCGTTAAATGTATTATAATGACCTGAGGCACACAGTCATCGATTGGACCACGTGAACGAAAATGACGATCGAGATTAGCGTTCGGAATGATCGGAAGATCAGAAGCGCAAAAGATCTTTCGCTCATTACAGTTAACGCTCGCTTATATTTATAATCTTATATTTATTCGCTCTATAATATTTACTATATCTCGAGTTCCCCCCCCCAGTCACGAGTGACCGTGAATGACTGACACCCTTCGCAAATCTGGTAGCAGCAAAACAATCGCTCGCAATCCATCGCAAACCGTCCAATTCGACAGAGACATACATGTAAATGCCAATGCATGCCGATGAGGTGCCAATGGGAGTTGGCTTGCCGATGCCTGTCCATTCTCTGCCAGTCCGCGCAAATCTTCGTTCGTGGGTTTTTCATGGTGTTTTCGCGAGATTTGCGCAGAATGGCAGAGAGGAGACAAAAACATCATACCGATTGCATCCTCTTGTTGGACAACTGCAGTGCTCACAAGCTGGAGGACTGGGATGTCCTACCTTCCTGGCTCCATGTTCTGTTCCTTCCACCCAATATGACTAACACATATCAACCTGCAGACATGGGCATGATTGCTGCCCTTAAAGTGGGATACAAATGCATCATGCTGTCTACTTTGCTTGATCTCTTTGACGTTGAAGGAGGCTACGAAGCCTGTGCCAAGCGGCGACTCAAAACAACGAAAGGGTGCCGTGGCTTGGCCGTTGGAGGCAAGGCACATCTGCTTGATGCCATGACTATCTTGAATGACATTTGGAACCAGGATGGTCGCTATGCAAAGGAGAATGGTGTCAGACGCTGCTGGAGGAAGGCCGGCATCCTTCCCATCGCCATGGAAACAGCAATCAATGTTGACCTTGGATCCAATTCAATCCCTATGAAGGACAAGGTAATGAGCAAAGAGGATTCTGATGACTTGTGTAACCTCATGAGTGCTCTCCAAGTCAAGACTCAAGAAACTCAGGTCGATGTGGCCAGGCACGCCATTGCATTGCAAGGATCGTTCGCTGCTGATTTCGACAGGTACTCTAGGGAGGATGTGCTGCAGATGGGGGAGAATTGGATTGAAATTGAAGATGAGCCTGAAGTCATCAGTGCAACCATCGACGAGGAGATAGAAGAGCTGGAAACGACAACAACCGAAGCCGAACTGGCTGTCCTTGATGATGAGGAGCCTGAACTGATGGACGTTGACCCGGAACCTGCCGATGTGTTTGCCTCATTTGCCGAAGCTGAAGAGGCGCTCAATAAGCTGTCCGAAAGTGCCTCCAGCTTGGGTATCAACCAAGCTGCTACTGTGCATCTTGATAGGTTTGCCAGAGCCTTGAATATGGCCAGGGCGACAAGGGCTGGCAAACGCAAACGTGATGGCACTCTCCACTCGTTCTTTACTAGTGGTTAGTAGCAGTAACGCTCTATATTTAGACACACTGTTATATTTACTGGATTCCTGAATCCCCCCCTGTATATATATCTGAATGTTGACTGTATTTATTTGTCGGTGGCCAACCAGCCAATAAAAAAAGCACTAAAAGCAATTGGGAAAAAAAATGATGATGAGAGTAACATCGTGTGCCTTGTTTGTGGTGTTGAGCCTGGTGACCGTAGAGGGTCGTCTTGGCGCCGTCAAGGGTAGTCGAAGGTTGCAAGGACTTCCCACGCTGGAAGTGGTTGGAAATGATGGAGATTTCGACGTGTTCCCGTTGGGTTTGTGCCAGGTGGGTCTTCCTTCTACTGTACCAGTACTGTGTGCAACTTTTAATTAAAAAGGATCAGGAGGAGGAATGCTCACCAAAACTACATTCTATTCTTTGCTGTTGTTTATTATTCTACGGTACAGGGAGAGTGTGATAATGATAATGATGTAAGTTAAGGTTTGTTTGGGTATCCTATCCTCCCACTACTGTATACCCCCAAGTGCAATGCTCACCGACCCTATACTTCTTTCTTTCTCTTTCTTTCTTGCTTGGAATGGTTAACAGTGCGAAGAAGGCCTCTATTGCTTCCAACGAGAGGCTGGAGTATCCGTGCCTGGATGTCAAGATGGAGGTCCTGGTTTCCAAAGTCGGACTGATTATTGCGTTCCCGTGGAGAACCCAGTCGATATGGTGCCAACCGAAGAAGACGAAAAGGAAGACGAAAAAGACGACAAAAACGCCAAGGATGACGAGGAAGAGGAAGTAGACGGAGATATTGCGGACATGGAGGAAACCGACTTTCCCGCGGATATTTTGACCATGGTCCCTACCATGCTAGAAACCTTTGCCGAGAGTGGCGTTTCCGTCATTGTCAATGCCGAAGAATTTCCAGGTGACCAAGAAGAAGAAGAAATCATGGAAGCAGAGGTTGCAGTAGGGACACTGGCAGTGGTGGGACAAAATGGAAATCCGGCCAGATTCTTCCCTCTCGGAATGTGTGAAGGAGATTGCGATAATGACGGGGAAGTAAGTAGTGTGGGAAGCAATGAGAGGACCATGTGCTGTTGCAACCAATAGACTGGGTTTCTCACACCCAAGTTTTGAACTTGATACACACAGTGTGCAGGTGGTCTCGTCTGTTTCCAACGGGAAGACGGTGATGAAGTCCCAGGCTGTGTTGGAAATTTGGCTTCCACAACCGACTACTGTGTTCGCCCTGCAGATGAAGGTAAGCTAATGAGAGATGAGAGAGGTTTTGTTGGTGGAGACTGAAAGAGAGTTGATTTCACTCATTGTTCGATTTCATCCATGAACCAGTCGAGGAAGTGGAAGAAGAACCCGTCGAGGAGGAAGAGATGGAAGATGAAGAACCAGTCGAAGAGGAGGAGATGGAGGAAGAAGAAGAGGAAGAAATGGAAGAGGAGATGGAGGAAGACGAAGAGGAAGACAAAGATGACAAAGACGATGAGGAAGAAGAGGAGGTCGAAGTTGAGGAAGAAACTACCATGCCTGAAGAAACTACTATGCCTGAGGAAACTCCCATGCCCGAAGAAAATCCCATGCTTGAAGCAACAACCGTTCCTATGCCTGAAGATGACACAACTCCGGAAGAAACAATCCCCCCAACTATGGTAGAGACCGACGCCGAGACAGCGGTTGAAACCGAGGCGGAAACTGCAGTGGAGACAGAGACCGATGCCGATGATGAGGCCGACGAAGCAGCTGATGAAGTCGATAACGGAATTGAAGTGGGCAAATAAACCACAAGAGCAATCCACTTGTGCTAGGTTCTCTCTCAGTGAAGCGAAAAGAGAGAGGAAGCTGCAACTCTCCCAGCCACAATACTCCACAAGAGGACACGCGGATGTCGTTCATCCTGTTTTCGAGGATGCCATAAAGATGGCGTCTTCCTATGTCTGTCATGGCTTGTTCGAAAGTGTATCAGTACCATACATTAAACAATTAATAGGCAACGTTACAATACAATCAACTTTTGATGAGGAAGATGTCCTGTGTCAGCAATATTTACGTTACTTTAATGGCTCAGACTCCAAGCCATACGGTACAGATGCCCATGGCAAGTCTTATCCTTTTCACCCAGCGCCAAAGGCCATCAAACACACACATGACTACTTGATCTTCTTGAGGAAACGGCTAAAAGACAGCCTCTTTCTCTTTTTCTTTTTTGCCGGGGAGGGTGAACTTTTCGGTCGGATTGCAGTGACCGCGGACGGCTCAAACCGTCGTGTTGTCCTGTCGGAAGGAGCTTCGTGCTTGATGTTTTTTGTAAATGGCCGCGCTTGAACCGTTCTAGAAGTTGATCATGTGTACCGGTGAGCAGAAAAGCGAGCTAGTATAATGGACGCATCAAAAGGCGGTCGCGGTCTTACCTCGACGGAATCATATCTCCGACAAGCGTCTGATTGCACACCTGCCCAATTGTTGTAAATGTGCCGACGTCACCTCTGTAAGGTTCTGCTGTGGACGCTGGTAGCGGATTGTCCAGGAACTGCGCTTGCTGAAACCTGGGTACACGAACAACATACTGTTGCAACGCCAACACGGTGAAATACATCTAAGCGAACTAGCCCTACCATAAATCAACAACCAGGCAACCGAACTCACCTTTCCAAACAAGTACTTCATCATGCTCTTCAATTTGACTCGGGCCTCCCTTTCGGTGCGACGTTGAAGTCGTTGAGCTTGGAAGGCTTTGTGGGCCGATTGTGCTTGTCTTCGAACGTATGTCTCCCGCTCTTCGGGTGTCATGTGATCAACTTGCTCGAAGTAATACCAATCCACGATTCTCATCCACGGACCCAAAAATACCCAAACCAGAATCCGGATCAACCAACGAAGAATCAATCCCCACGGAACAAAGAAAATGAGGGCCGAAATGACGAAGCAAAATGTCACAATCCAAAAGGGGTAATAGTTTTCCTGCCACGAGACAATGCTCTTGACGATGCGCATATAGATGCAAAGTTGATGGAGAACGGTTTGGATTGGATGCAGTATTGGTTTGAGCGGATTGGCTGCTTGGAAAAAGTTGACCGTTTCTCGTTTTGCAGTGGCAATATTTGCTTCCGAAAGAACCGCCATTTCTGCTTTGTGTCGCTCCACTTCTTCTTCGAGCTCTGCCGCCTTTTTGAGTTTGACGGATTGCTCTACCTTTTTGCGTTGTTGTCGTTCGTCATTGTAGCGTTGGATCTCTTCCTCATTCTCGTTGGCAGCAATCGTTTCCTTCATGCGAACCAACACTGAACGGGACGAATCTCCAATGATGACATGCAACAATTCGCTGATCAACCCCTGCAGGAGATCGCGGTAGCTTTCGCACTGGTGCCACGGGGATGGATGCCTTCGGCTTAGTGCCGCAGAGATCAGAAACACCCACGCAATTGAAAACATGACAAACGATGGGAAACGGTTGTAGTTTTGTGTGACCAAGACTCCCCAGGTAAAGAGTAAAGCAGAGTTCACGGGCAACAGCATTTCGCGACCAAACACGTTGACTTTGTAGGTTCCTCGCCAGAGCAAAATAATGAGGACGATGACCGACACCAATTCCAGATTTTCCTCCGAGTAGTAACTCTCCAATTCCTCCACGTAGCTGGTCAAGGCAGCAATGCTGAAGTCGTCCGAGTGGCGCTATATATATTATCGAGCGAGCGGTGAGCAATCATTGGAACGTACGGTGCTACCAGGGAGCAGCGGTGCTTACCTCTCCCACAGTGGTGTAGGTTGCCGTCTGGAAATCGTGTTTTCGGGGGACCGAAATATAGAATTCCGGCGGCAATCTCATGGCGTCCAATACTTGATGTTCCCATTCGATGCGTATCCTGATGATGAGAGTACCATTGTGGTCGCCAGCCACTCGATCCTTGGCCCCGTCACTGCTGACCTCATAAATGTGGTGATGCAACGTGTAGAGCGTATCGGGATGGAGTATTGTTGGATTGATCAGTACTCGACCAATGGGTGTATGGATCCATTCTCGAAAAACATTGAGAGGTCTGTAAATTTTGGCAGTGGAATTACGGTTGAAAACTCCCACGTAAAGGTGACTGGAGGGATGTTTGACTCGAAATACAAAGGCTCGGTGGTCGCCGGTGGGCATCCATCTTGGATTTAGATTGTCGTTGATGTAGGTGGTATTGACGACTGAGTCCTCCATAATCAGACAGCAGAAAGGATCTGAAAGGTTTGCAAACCTACCACAGGAAAAGAGGAGCGTGAGCCCGACGACCAATCTCGAGGCGTCGCCAAGTGCAAAACTTGGTACGCTGTAGGTACTTACCCTTGCATAACGGTGGGAGCGTCCAGATTGGGCAGGTTGTTGCAGGCGATGACCTCCACGTATACCTTTCCGGGAGCGTTTGGGTCTCCCACTTCGATCCATTCCTTGGAAGGCTTGAGTGCCTCCACTAACAATGCGTCCGGGGGTTGGTTATCCGAGTATTGTTTATCCTTGCCATCCATCCCAAAATACGTTGCCCCCCACTCGTTGATTGTGGGCATGTTCCCTAAGAACCGATTGGTGGCATTCTGAGCGGATTCCATGGGTGGCAAGTATGTTTCCTTGGAATGGATTCCCGCCTTTTTGCTCTCGAGGGTTTGAATGAACTCGATATCTTGGTACGTGGCAGGCTTGAATCGGAGTACCAGTCTGGTCTGATGAGGCAAAGGGTGGATCGAGATGCCGGCAGAGGAAGTTGTAAAGGGCATGGGAAAATGAGCAGTGGCGTAGAACGTTTGTAAGGAAAGGTTCAGTTCTTGTATTCATGCCAATGATAGTAATGCACAAAAAGACGGCACAAGTCTACTCACCTTTCTCACAATGGTTTTGTGAACGCTCTGGGTTATCTCCTCTATATGCTGAGGTACCACGAATGGAAATTCTCTCCGTTTGCCTTTGCCCTCCAACAATACCTTCATGGAAATATCTAGAGTTCCCAACACGGGATCTGCCCGAAACCCCTCATACTCCATCAGCTTGAAATGCACTGGCGCATCTTTCGCTGGAGGGGCATCTTGCTCTTCTGCTGTCGTCGTATTATTATCGCCAGGTCGACCTGCAGGACCAGCAATAGGGACCAAAAAGTGGGACCCGGATTCCAAAGACCAAATAGGAAACTCGGTGTTCCATAGAACTTCCGTCTGATGGATTATTTTTTCTTCTCCCCCCATGGAAACCACCACATAGGGATCTGGTTCCTTGAGATGGTCCACATTGGGCACGTTCAGAGCCGACACAATCTCTACCAAGATAAAGCCCGTGTCCTGATCCTGATCTGTGTTTACGTTGTCATGGTTCTCCTGATTGGTTCCGCCGTTGGTATCGTATGTCCCAATACTACTGGTGGAGCTAGATCCAATATCGTCAGCCATCAAAACATGCTGTTGTTTCCTCGCGCCTACTTGTAGCTATGCTAAGTGCTATCGACTGATGAGTGGTACCAACTACCAACAACAATCCTCGTACCAGTTTATCGATAGAAGGACAAAGATACAAAGATACGAAGTCCGAACGAACGCTGATGTAAAAATGTATCGCAATAATAATTTAACTTGAAGAGGATTAAGGGAGGTAGCTAGTATTTAAATAGACGAAATTTGCACCTTGAATACGTGAGAACAGGTTGCCAATCGACGATTTGTCTCAAGGAAGTCTGCATGGAAGATGCAGCACACGTAGTAGAACAACCAACAACTAAAGACGTCGAGGCAATAGAAAAAGTCTCAACCGTCAACGACAACAAGATGACATCCGATGCCACAATCACATGCGAAGCCCCGGTGGCTCCCACATGCACAGCGGTGGTCCCATACGTATGTTCAAAAGTGGCATGTGAAACACTTCAAGATCAGTGTGCATGGCCAACAGCCATTTGTATTGGAGATGCGAATGGTGAACGGTGTGCTACTTGGAGTTGTACCGTACCCAACGGCATTCTCACAGCATTGATGAAGGATGGTGGAGACCTTGTCAAGGAATTGATGCGGCGGCAAAAGACACTACGATTGGAGGCATGCGTCGCCTCGGACGATACAGATTAAGAATTTGTGACTGGCCAATGGTGGAAGTGGTAGCTGATGAGGAACCACTACTGGTCCAGGATCAACAACAAGTTGATGCTGAGGAACCACTGGTCGACAATCGAGTCAATGAGGAGGACAATGTGGACACAGCCCAATCAACTTTGCGACGATCAAAGAGACGCATGGCGGCGATTGCATCTCAGAGAATCGCAGAACAAATCAAGACAAAGCCACGGTGGGTGGCAGTTGAACAACCTAGAATTAATAAACATAGACGCGCGGTGGCCACCAAGAAAAAGTCAACAAAGCCAAAGGTGAAGGGCAAGAAGAAGAAGAAGACGACACAACCTGTGAAGGACACACAGCAGCAAACAACAGTTCAGACGACAGCAACACTTTCTGGACGGCAAGTCAGAAAGCCTGACCGGCACATTCCAGTCTGGGACAACAGGTAAGTAAGCTGTCTGTTGATGTGCGGTTATTGTCAAACCTCTTTGCTAAAATACATGGTCGAGTCCGTTCCTCCTCCTGGTATTTCCAGGTGCAGGATTGTGTTGTCATTCTGCATGAAAACTTTATTGGTTGCATCTGCATGGTCTGCAGGTATGGGAGGTCAAGCAGGCAAGCAGGCTCCTAGCTAGCTAGGTCGTCATCAAAAACGAGTTACGAGTGTCAGTCGAATCGGATTGCTTGCCGAACGGGTTCGCAGGGTGGCAACACGTGGGAACCCAGCCTTGGTGCCCGAGGTACATGGACTACCGGTATTTTGGCCCCTTTGGTGTATGGTACGGTACCTGGTACTTTGAAGTTTGAAGGGGGGAAGGATTGGAGGTGGCGTATCAGAAACAATTGGCTGCTCTGCCCGGCACACCTGAAGAAACTCACATGGAGTTGCCTGTGACGGATCCTCGTTTACCAATCCGGAAGCTGTCCCTCATGTCCATGTAGTACGGTATCGTAGAAGCTTTTATAGTCAGTTTTACCAACCTGTGCGTTCCACTTGCCGGGGCATCCTACATGTAGCGGTACTAAGACTGAAACAACCACTCCGCCTCCACAGTCTCCACAGTCTCCACAGCACTTGAGTCTCCAAAAAGGAAATGATCTAGCAAGCCCAGCTTCTCAGAGAAGAGCCTATCGAGATATGCACTAGCTAGCTAGCTAGCTAGCTAGGTTACATGTAGCAGCTTCCAAAGGTCATCAATCGTACCCCATCCGCTGCAGCTGCAAGATTTATGCTGTCCTCACCACCTCACGACATCACGACCTCACCGGAACCATGATTTGCCACTGAGCTTCACTTCAGTCTGGCTCGTTTGTGAACCCGAGCTTCCCCAAGCACAAGCACACCCTTTGATTCGTGCGTTCTGCAACGTACATGTGCACGCTATGATACTTAGGCTAAATTACACGCATGCAACGTTTTTAAATTCCAAAGCTCCATAAGCAAGTCTTCGTTGCGTTGTCACTCTTGCGCATTGTATGTTGCTTTGCCGCCAGCGATGGCCTTGCCGTTTCATCTTTCGGAATGACGGAAACTGGAGATTTGGCGCTAACTCGGATGAAGGAAGTTTCCTTCATTAACTTTTTGTCGTCCGAGTGTCCTCACAACAATCACAAGCAAGGTTAAGAGCAAAGGTTAACAACAAACAATGATGATGAAAGTAGCTAGTTCTGTATTTCTTGGCCTTTGGCTTGTCCAACTCGCCGTCGTTGAGTCCAGAATAGGGCGACCTGACGGTGTCAACCGCAAGCTGCAACCAGTTGAGTTGGTGAATGTTGGCAACAACCTTGGGCCAGGTGCTAATCTTGGACACTGCGAAGGAGACTGTGACAATGATGCCGAGGTAAGTTTGCTCCGATCCGAATCAGCATTGGTATTGGCTGTAATTATCTGTCTACTTGCTAATGCTAATATTTCGATACTCTTTCTTCTTGGATTAAAACCACTATAGTGTGCCGATGGATTAATCTGCTACCAACGAACCGTTGGCGACTCTGTTCCTGGCTGCACCGGAAACTTAAACACCGAAAACGACTATTGCATCCTCACGTTGGATGCACAGACCGCATCACCTTCGGCCACGGATCCAATTGAAACCATGGCGCCAACCACAATGCCCACAATGATGGAATCAGAAGTTGTTACAGGACTTCCAGACGACGATGAAGAGGGCGACGATGAGGAACCAGACGACGATGAGGAAACTTCAGCACCCACGGATGGAACCACATCCGCACCTGTTGCTGCTGTCACTTCGGCACCCACAACGGCCCCCCTTCCTGCTGTGACCGCTGCACCCACCTTGACAGCAACTGTCCCTGCTGAGACAGCAGTGCCGGAGACTGGAGCGCCAACGATCTCCATGCCCGAGACCGCTGCACCAACTACTGCCACCGTCGAGACCCAGCAACCTTCAGCTGCTCCACTCGGAGGAGCTGCTGAAATCACGGATGCTCCCACAATGGCAGTGACACCGGTGGAGACGGAAGTGGAAACAGAAGTCGTAACAGAGGAAGACACCGAAGAAGAAGATCCCGAGGAGACATTTGCACCGACGGAAGATCTCCAAATTGAAGACCTCACGCTGCCACCAAACCTTCCAGAACTCACTACAAGTGGAAACGATGGAACCTTTGACGTTTATCCCCTCACCGAGTGCTCTGGGGACTGCGACACTGATGACGACGTAAGTATTGGTATAGCAGTTTTGTATGACATTTTGCTTGGTTTCCCCTGTTGCTTACCTGTTTCCTGTTTTCATTTTAGTGTGAAGGAGACTTGGTGTGTTTCCAGAGACAGATGTAAGTCCTTTGGAACTGATCCTAAGTTACCGAGTCAATATTGGACCAAAATCTCATCATCATTCTTTTCAACTTCCTTTCTTCTACCAGGGATGAACCGGTCCCAGGTTGCAGTGGTACGTCCATTCAAGGTTTCTTGCTCAGCGATCTCTTTTGCAGCAGCACTCTCACTTCTATTCTTTTTATTTAATCTCAACGTAGGTGATGGAGACATGAGCATTGACTATTGCGCCCAAGGCAAGGAGGCAAAGTTGGAATCTTCGTTCTTGGGACCATTTTCGCGTCGTTAGTTTTCCTGTGCAAGTGAATCTATGTACCGATCTTTGGTCCGGCGACTCTCTTGGTTCAATGGTATTTCCTAGCTAGTGTCTCTTCATATTATTTCTTGTACCGAGTTGATTGTTTTACAGTACCTTTTGGCTTCTTCGCGGCAACAGACTGCCCAACGATTCATTCATAGAGAAACTTCATTAGTTGAATCGAGCATTACCGCCAAGGCGCAATCCAGCTCGTTAGCAACAAAGGCACGCCTGCTTTAGTAGCCCTGGCTGACTAGAAAACAATGCTGGGTGAAGCATGTATTGATGTGTTGGGGCTGTCAGCATGTCAGATTGCTCCAATCCCGAGTTGATGACATGGAAACAACCGTAGCAGCAGAGGACGTCCCATGTTGCTTTTGGTTTTACTCTTCAGGGCAGCCATTGTTGCATGCCCACTTCAGCAGCTCCGTATTCCGAAAGTATTTGGCCCGGCCACAGGTCCTACTATCCCAGGGACAACCATTCTCATGGGCCCAAATCAATGTGCCAAGTTGTCCGTACATGGCTGCAGCTGCACATGTATCTTCGTCCCATGGGCATCCATTTCCATGTGCCCACTTCAGTAGTTCCAATTGTCCACTACCAGCGGCTGCAGCACAAGTCCTACCATCCCATGGGCAGCCATTTGCTCTGGCCCATTCCAAAACTTCAGAGTGTCCTCCTCCGGCAGCGGCAGAACATATCTTTTCGTTCCAGTGACACCCATTGTCTCTAGCCCACCTCAAAGATTCCAAATGCCCACCCCTGGCTGCAGCGATGCTTGTTTCTTCATCCAATGGGCAGCCATTCTCCCATGCCCATCTTAGAAGTTGCAAATGACCACCAGCAGCAGCATACCAACAAATCCTCCAATCCCAGGGACACCTGTTTGCACGAACATATTTCAACACATCAAGGTAGCCGCCTCTAGCAGCTTCAAAGCAGATAGTCTCGTGGTACCATGGGCATCCATTTCCTCTGGCCCATTTCAAAATAACCAGATGCCCACCAGCGGCAGCCTTTGCGCAAGTTATTCCATTCCACTGACATCCATGGGCTCTGGCCCATTTCAAAATTTCCAAGTGTCCACCTGCTGCAGCCACATAGCATGTACGGTGGTGGTCCCATGAGAATCCTTTGGCATGGGCCCACTGAAGAACTCGTAGATTCCCGTGTTTTGCGATTGTCGTGAGCACAGAACTTGGGTATGGGTTTCCAGCCGTTTGAATTAACCAGTACTCGGCGCATGACAAATTGTAAAAGGCTGCACTGTAGAATGTGTCTGTTCCTTTGGCTTGACATTTCAAGTGGGGAGCATTCTGATGTATCGCCTCTGGGCAATTCTCCACATTCGCACAATATTCCAAATACAGGACTTTGAATCGCTTGTTGACAGCCCCCACATAGGCAAAATGCCCAATGCCCAAAAAGGGGAGGATGTGTTCAATCCAAAGATCCGTGTGATCCAAGAGCAATGGAAGACTAACGGTGCTGATGGCAGCCATGGTGGGACGTTCAGTGGAGGGGAAGGAGCCGAGTGGAGTGACAGTCGACAGCGATAGCAAGCCTCCTCATGAGAGAGAAAGAAAGAAATGTGCGCGCTCTAATCCAGACGTGGATACTGTCGTGGATTGAGCACCTCAACGGTTCAACGAGTGAAAGAAGCTTCTTCGGGCTTGTGAGCTAGTCTAGCTCTTGTTTGAGTTTCTTGTTTGGGCTTGCCGCGACGTTGCTCTTCGTACATGCTAGCGAACGAATGATGCGACGGTACCACAACCATTAACCACTGCTTTGCCTAGCCTCGCCCCCCTCGCTCCTTAACGTACTAGTATCTATTTAGTATTTATTTTCTTTCTTAATTGCAACCTAAGACGATAAAAATCGCCGCCATGTTGAGTAGCTGGTCTATGTTCACCTGCCAAACCACTTCTTCGGGCGACCTTGATGCGACCGAGAAGACAGCTGGTAATAGCAAAGACGACGAGGTCGACGAAGAAGTCAACGACGGCCAGCATTCGTCTCGTCAGCTCAGCAGCAATGGCTCCTCAGAGGGAAAAGTTGAACCCGTTTTGCCTGAGAATGTTGGTACCCCAGAAATATCGCTGTCTTCTGGAAGCAGTCATGCCGACACCAAAGAGCAGCCCAAAGACGATAGCAGCAAAATCAAAGAACTCGAAGGCAAAATCGAAGCTATGCAAGGAGAGCTTGTCCTGTTGATACAGCAGAGCAATGAGACTCGAGAGAGCTTGGGTAAGGAAAAGGTGCTTCCACAAGATGCCTTCAGTTTCTTGGTCGTTTGTCCTTTCTGCAGCGGTCCATTCTGCTTTGCTCTGCTTGTCTTTGTATTTCAAATGACTACCTTCATCCTGCTGACTTTGGATCTGCTGAGCAAGGGCAACGGGAGCCAGAACCCTTTTGGAATCCCTGGCAATGTTTCGCCTCAGCTGCGTATCTGTCAGTTTATTGCTATTGTGGTGGCGGTAAGTCTCTCAGATTGATTGAAGATTCTGCTTTTACGGTAGATTCAGAACGACGCGACATCACATGCTGTGATTCTGACTACTGCTGCTTTCAATCGTCTAGGTGTTTTCCCAAGGCGACCTGATGACTGGCTTCGGTTCCTTCCGAGACGGATACACACACAGGCTCCAAGATATCTTCGATTATGCCTCGCCTTTGAAGTTTTGGGTATCCCTCTTGACTCGATTGAGCGAAGCAATTTTGGGGCTGGTTGTGAGCTTTCTTCTCATTACCACAAGTGAAGCGGTTGTAGATTTGCTCTTGAACTTCACGGCCATTGAATTCGTCAGCAACTTGGACGAAGTCTTCTTCTTTCTGTCGAAACAAGGCTTCATGGGCAGGACATGCAAGAAGGACGCAGGTGTAATTGCGAGTGCTTCGTACGTGCCGGAGAGGAAACGCGGAAGTGCTTGGAAAATCACCTTGCTGTTGATCATTCTTGCTTCCATGATGGTTGGATGGGTTTCCGTCATTGAAGCGCAAGAGTCTGGAAGCTACCTCTGTCGTAGCGTACAGGTTCAGTTCGGAGATGACTTTAATCCTCAGTTGGCCACCTTCTCTGGTATCTATGACATTCAACGAAAGCAACGTCGATTCAATATCTTGTCAGAAGAAAGAGTCACCTATGCCGAAAGAAGGGCATTGGAAATTGGAGGCGAGCGTGCGATGTTTGGATGGTGTAGCAAGATTCAGGGTTGGACCTTCCGCTGGCAAACAGAAGCAGCATCCAATAGTGATCCCTGTGACTGGGTAGCCAGATCAGAAAGTGCAGACATCGACAGCTACGACTTGATACAGACTGCTTCATCGAGTTGGTATGTGCAAGATTATGCAGGTCGCGAGGTTGTCTTGGATCCATTTTATCTCGCATGCATAGATTGCACCGGATCTGCCGAAGCCGACTGTGGAGGTCGTGGTCATTGCAACGATGGCGTGTGCCAATGTGAAGAAGGCTGGTTTGGAATTCGGTGCCAATTCTCTACTCCGTGTCCGAAGCTTTCAGTCGACACTCTTACAAACGACTTTGCATCCACACGAGACTGGGCCAGCACCTTCAACCTTCTCCTCGATGATTCAGGCGCACCTGTCCAAGCCTATGATCGTCCTATCTTTGTCCATGAATACGGAAGTGGTTCTGGTGATTATGATATCATTGTCTTCACGGGGCGCCGATTCGGACTGACGACGACAAGGTCCGAAGACCTACAAACGATCGGGCACAACTTATCAATCTACTTTAAAGAATCTTTCCATGCAGAGAGCACGGAATTGGATTTTGCCTTTCTCAGCGAGCCCGCAGACTTGCAGACCCCAAGGGATTCCGTGAGTCCAGAAGGTCTCGATTTCTTCCTGTCACGAGATTTGCAGCCTTTAAGTCAAGTCAACACGAAACTTTTGTGTTCTATTTGTTCCAACGAAACCAACCCTTGTCTGTACGATGGTCACTGTGATAACAATGGCTCCTGTCAGTGTAGTCCCGGCGGTTACGGAAGCTTATGCCAGATGCCACCTATAAACAACGGCTATTGCAATCAGTTCTTCAACACACCTCAATTCAACCTAGATGGTGGAGACTGCTGCGAGGCTTCCTGTCGAAGCTCGGAATTCCAGTGTGGCTACGACGAGTATGGGCTTGTGTTTGTTGGCTACCCTTGCAGACAACAAGGACGAGGCAAATGGCTGGATCAAGGTCAAGCGATTGTCGGCGAAGAATTCGCGTTCTCCGGATCCCAAGTTGAGTTATCAAGAAATGGGGCCGTCTTGGCCATTACTGAGCCCGGGGTGGAGCGGGTAAGCCTTTTTGACAAGGACGGGACCGACTGGGTGCGTCGACACTCCGATGTTGAGCTCCCAAAGCTGAGGCTTCGAAACATCGCCATGTCGACCGGGCCAAGCATTTTTCTGAAAACACCCACCTTCGCGATCCCAGTGTTAATGGCCTGGTCAGGCGTCGATCAAACTACTGGGAATTCAAGTGCTTCTGTGGAGTTCTGCCGTATTCGAGACTGCGAAACGCCCACCTTTGAAAGGTCAGAGACAGGAAGTTCGCGAGCAGCCACAGTTGCAATGTCTTCAGACGGTTCAACTCTAGCATTTGCCTACCGCAACCCACATCGAGTTGAAATCGAGCGGTTCATAGTTCTACAAAATGGAGCCGGGAGGGTTTACGAAGGGGAGACCATAGACCTCCTGGAAGCAATCAACTACACGTACCACTATGACCACTATGAAGAAGATTATTACATGTATGGTGGGAATTCCTTATTGATCAATGCGATGAGTCTTTCCTCCAATGGCGACAAAGTGGTGGTTGAGCTCTGGGAAGTGTTTTCTATCCACGATTTTTATCCGTTTGCCCCAGACGACTATCATTCAACCACTGTCATGCTTTCATGGAATGGGACTTCCTACACCGGAGACATCTCCTACTTGTACGACAGAGATTTTCTCGTGGAACCATCATCAACCATACGAGATCCGCCACGCCCCTCGTTTGCCATGTCTGGCGATGGCAACTACGTCGTTGTGACCATTGATAACTGCATTCATCAGGTCCTGGCACGAAAGAACGGCGAATGGGTAAATCATGGGCAACCAATAAACGGCACGCTCCTTTTGCCTGCAGCCAAGTGTTACGGTGAAGGAGGCCCGACGTACACTACTGAAGTGGCACAGGCGGTAGCCATGTCGGAGGATGGCTCGACAATTGCGGTTGGCATTGACGGTCAATATATTGCTACGTTTGGTTGGAACAGCACTTCTTGGGAGCAAAAAGGTGACCTGTTGCCTGGTGGCCCCAACATGTTCCTGTCTCTTTCGTCTGACGGCTTGACTCTAGCGACTGGACTGCCCTTGAACGAGCGGAACGATGCTGGTGTTACAAAGGTGTATTCCTGGGTCCCAGAACCAGTGGAAGGCCATTCCAATCTACGTGTTTCAGTCACGCCTGATACCAAGGAGACAAGTTGGGAGGTCCGATCCAACCGCACGGGAGAAGTGCTTTTGAATAGTGGTGATTACTCGTGGGGCCTTGCACCAACCACAGACACCACCAGCGTACCTGTGGAAGAGTGCCTGGTCTTTACCGTGTATCCGTATCGACTCACTTGTTCGTTTTACTCCGCCTGGGGATGCACCCCACCGGTGACATTCTCCGAGCCCGCTAGGTTGGATGCCTTTTTGGATGGTGAACATGCAGGTAGTATTCCTATCGCGACTAATGCCGCTTCCTGGACAAAGCATTGTGGCAATGACTTGTTGTCGTCAGGTCACGAGACTGTAGGCAGCCCCATGACGTTGTTTCCGCCGCGACAAGTTTTCGTGGGCAAAAACTGCACCTCTTGTCCTGAAGGTACACAACAACTCCAGATTATGATGTATGCTTGTAACAACAATTCCACGGTGACTCTGAAAGAGAGCAGCAGCACTATTGGAGGAGCACAAGCACTGCCATTTGTCCACAAGAACAACCTTCTTGAAGAAACTGCAGTGTGGGAGTGGACGTGTATCGACTCCATTCATAGCTGCTACACTTTGACCATTCAAACTGACGTTCTAGAACGCAGACACAGGAGGAGTCTCTTGGCAGAGTCAAAACTGTCCAATGGAATTTACTACGTGTTCTTGGACGGCGAACACGTTGCGGACGGTGGTCGAATTCCCTTTTGGAAGTCACCAGATGAAGACCAACCAGGAACCTACCAGATAGAGATACCGGTTGGGAATTGCTGATCAAAACTCAGAATGACTCCACTCCATCACACAATCTACCGTACTCTGTCAAATTTGTAGGATTCGAGGCCTATGGTCTACGGCCCCAAGTGTTATCAATCCTTGTTCCAACGAGAGCTTGTGAGAGGGTGAGAATACGCGGAGGAATGAACCCTGTACCGTATCTGTCCAGAGGTTTGGAGCCATGTTGCACGTCCTTCGGGCTTTCCATGCTACGAAAATACATTTAGAGTAAGCATTGGTCTAAATCACAAGTCTATGCATAGCCTTCAGCACTGTGATCCACGGAAAGAAGTCCAGCTTCCTCTTGCAAGATTGATTGTGTGTTGAATATCTATGTCTGGAGGTGGTGCGTGGAGACAGAAATTGTGCAGAGTCGATTCCATTTGGGGTTGACTAGGTAGCAGCGCTTCTGTCTTTGATCCACTTTGTCATTATTGACTCCCGAAAACTGTTGAAGTTCGGTGTATTTCCGCCGCAAATCCGCTTTTGCTGGATCCCTGGCAAACCACCAACCCACCCCAGCGTTTGCAAATTCCTAGGCTAGTCTAGCTATCTAGTATGATACCACTAACAGCGACTTGTGCTACATCATGTAGTGTATTGGCACCTCGAAAAACTGTCGAAGCGGTACGGTACCAGTAGACCTACGGTACATGTACCGGTACGGTGCGGTACTGTGACATGATGGATGATGAATGGACAATCCTTGAATGAAGCGAAGCAAAGCGTTCGGGGCAAAAGATGTGAGAGACCGGTACCAAGAAGGCCGCCTGGCTCGCAAACCTAAGAGAAGAATTTAAAATGTGAGACTTAAATCTGCATCCGACGGCCCCACGTGTACCAAACCACATCATTTTTTGATAAGCTCTTCTCCCCTTTGTGAATGAACCATTGAAGCGCGAAAGCGTAAAGAGACAAATCGAAGAGCGACCGATGCATTGAGCCCAGGAACTCTGGCGAGAGGAGCGGTGCCAGTCAAGAAGAAGAAGAACAGAAGTAGAACTAGACGAGATATCAGGTTGTTCGATAAGGAAATCTGTAGAGATACACTCTTGTGAGGTACAGCGCGGGAGTTTCACTCGACAAAAAAGCTACCCTACCAATAGTTCAACAACTACCAAGATGATGGTTCCAGTTTCCACTCCATGGAACGCAGTCTTCTGCGTCTGTTTTATATTAGGACTGTTTGCAAGTCAGCCAATGAGAGTCAGTGCCCGATTGGGAACGGCGACTTCGGCTAGAATGGACCAAGGAGAACAACAGCACCACCACCAACCACGGCAACAGCAACAGCCGCCACCAGCAGGGCGTGCCAACCACCCACTGCCAAAGCTCACTGGCTATGGTGCAGATCCACATCCAATGTACCTTCCTCTTCCGCTCTGTGCCGGGGACTGTGACACTGACGATCAGGTAGGCTACCGTTTCATTGATTTGACCACTGTACTGCTGTGTGCACATTCATTAGCTCATCTCATATTGCCCTCTATCTTCTTGCTTTGTAAAAAGTGCGCGGAAGGACTGATTTGTTATCAGCGAAGATCAGGAGACCCGGTGCCTGGCTGTCAGACCAATGGAGTTGTCGAGAGCCAAACGGACTTTTGCATCCCACCGGACGCTGCATGGGTAGACGATCTTTGGGTAGACCAAGAGGAAACCGTCACTTTGGCACCCACAATCAGCCCGCACTATTATGTGACCAACACGGAGGCACCCACATTTGCAGGAGAACACGTCATGATTCCCGTTATAGATGATGACGGCATTTGGAATGCTACGACTTCCAAGAATGACACTACTAGTAGTACGACGGCATCCCCGACACCGTCTACTATTGAAAATGCCCGGTTTTTCTTCGACGATTGGAATTTCGACGATGCCCCCACAGCGTCGCCCACATTTGACTTTCGAGGTCCTCCTCTTACCGATGCACCCACAGCGGAAGCCTGGTCCTTTTTACTAAACTATCATTCCGATCCAGTCCCCTTGATCTTTGTGGGAAATGACGGAGACTACGAAACGTATCCGCTGGGACCTTGTATGGCCGATTGTGATCAGGATGAAGATGTAAGTCAAGCAGTAACCCCACGCACACACCAAAGATGGTGGTTTGGAGATTGACTCATAACCCTTGTTTCATTCTTTTATCAGTGCTATGGCAATCTGGTTTGTTTTCAACGCGACGGAGTGAGTGCCCACAGCATCTTATAGCGCTATAACCACACTCAAACGATTCATTCCTAACACTGCTCTCCTCTCTTCTTCTTACAGGGAGAACCGGTACCTGGTTGTCTGGGAACAGACCGAGGAAGGAGCGACTATTGTGTCTTTCCTCATCACCTGGAACGAGAGTATCCCGAACTGGCAGCGCTGGATCACGAGCCTTTTCAGAATGGATTTCAACTCAAACTGGTCAGTACAGTACAGAAGTAGTGTTGAGGATGCTTGCCTGGGCATGACGATAGATGCATCAATCACATCAACTCAACTGCTCCTTTCTGTTGTTGCCAACACTACTTGCACAGTACTGGGAAGAAGGGTACAAGTGGCAAAATGAAACCTTTGAACGACACTGTGAGTTCGTTGGATGGAAAAAGTGGATGGAGAGTTGTCTGTTTCTTTGTGTCTTGTCTTCCTTGCTCAATGACTCTTACGCTTGGTTGGTTTTTGTGGCTTCTAGGGTGCATTACACGCAACTACACGGGGTCCCCCATTACGGGAGAATGTTGGTTCGGAGATCATTCCAACGAGTGCAATTTCGACGAACTGTACATTGACAAATGCAGTCCACCGGACGACCCCAATCCGACTCAATTGTTTGATTTCGTCCCCGTTTCGGACGACGAAGTATTGATCCAAGCGTACAATGAAGATCGTTGCGTGCATCGGTTCCAACGGAACATTACCATGGAAACGTGTGATGCCAGCAATCACCGCCAACGATGGTTTGCCGTCCGGGGTGGTTTCAACGAGCCAAAGTTTGAACTCAGTCAGAAACGCATATTCCAATACTGTCTCAATCAGGACCATCATCCCAAACCTGGGGAGGTCATTGCCATGTTCCATTGTGAAATGATACGGGGTCCAGAGCATGAAACGTCGTGGTGGGAGCTTTTGGATAACACCCGGAAGAGACATCATCTACCAGTGCCGGTTAGTAGGGGATGATGAATGAGGAGGAATATATATACATGTAGGAATGGGAACAAGGGAAGTTTTGGCCAACAATGATCAAGGACAGTGGGCTTTGAAGTCAACTTTATTATGAAATCAATCGATTTACAGGTCTGTCTCTATCCCGCTATGATTCTCAGAGACAACCGTACAGTACAAGGAACTGCCTGTGATGGGAATTGGACTACTTGAATATGGAATGAATTTAACCTAATGTTTATACCAGTGTGGTACGCTGTAGTGTCAGAGATAATATGTAAAAGAAGAGTTACTATTATTTATGCTGATTTGTATAGCTAGCTAGTAGAGTTGTCTAATAGTAGAAGTTTTTCAGCAAAAGAATGAAGCCAATGCTTCACAAAAAGATATACTATTAGTTGTAGAGCCCCTAGCTAGCTAGATATCATAGCAACCACCGAGGAAGTGAATTGTGTGATAGCCAGGGATTCCAGTATTTAGATGTTTCACTCGTAGAAAAATGCCATGGTCAACCAACGCAATAATTCTTGGCACAACCAATCGACATCTCCATGCGGTAGATTAGTTAGTCTGTCTTGTTGGCTTCCTTCCCTTTGCCTGTTGTTGTAGTACCGGCAGGAGGCGCCCCACCACCCGATGACATTTCGGCGCGAGCCCGAGCTTTCTTGTATTCTGATTCGAAAAAGGACAAGGATACCAGGAGTCCACTACTGAGAACCGTCAGAATGGCCATGTGAAGTCGTGCTACACCGGCCACAAACATGGTCATGATGAGTACTAGTAAGCACCCAATGACGAGACGGACAAAGGGAAGGAGCATCACTCCGCCTCCAGGAGAAAGGACATCTGTTACAAAAGACATGGTTGTTGTGTCTACTGGTGTTGTGGTTGGAAGGGATCGTTCAGTCTATCAATCAATAGAGAGGTCCAATCTAGCAATGACAGTCAATTCTTGCAATGGCTTCAATTGAGTGGTGGTCCTCTTGGCGGCTTGGCGGAACCTTGGTGTTCGATCTCTGTCTTCTTTGGGGATTCGATTCAATCGACTCGACTCAATTCGAAAGCTGTTTCATTTGGTTAAAGCCGGGAGTTGACCACGAGGCCAAATAGAGTACACATGGCCCTTGTCGTCCTTGAGGAATTCGGATACAGTGCGGTATTCGCCTTGATCGATCCAAGAATCCGTCACAAGGTGAGTCATGATGTCGGAGTGGGTGAGCAGCTCACTCCAGGTGTCATGGACCTTGTACCACTTGTCCTGTTCGTCGAGAACTAGTAGGGTTCATCCTTCTTTGCCGGTCGTACACGTATTGCATGTAGGCCGGTTTAAAGGTTTCATTGAACCACTTCAAGGCCATTTCTGGGGTTGGGATCTGGGGTAAGAAACGTTCACCAGTTTGTTCGTCAAGTTCACCTCTGGGGCACATGATAACAAAGCCTCTTTGGTCATAAGAAGTACCGTTGGTGGCCTCGTACATAAGGAGCTTTTCCCCATCAGCAGAAGCGGGGTCCACCAATTTGAATACCCACTCGATCATGTGCTTGTCAGCGAGGGCTTGAACAAAGGCCATCATGTCTTTGGTTTAACGCCGTTGACGGAGTGGTCTTGCGTCGGTTGTACATACACCGGTAGCTTTCTTTTCAACAAACCTGTGAACTTGAGGAACATTCCGGGGAAGGGGATTCTTGTCTTCCTTAGGTTGCTGGAATTACAGCGTGGAACTCACAGGAGTTGAAAGGACCTCTTGCTTTGTTGCCGCCGGCCTTTTTCTTCTTGCTGTTGATACCCGCGGAAGTAGGGGTTCGATGGCGACGACGTTGTTGATGTCGGGTGTTTGGAAGACATGGTGAAGGAGTTCTAAAACTTGAAGTCCGAAAGAGGAAGGTGAGTGGCCATGTTGAAAGGCAAAACATTGTCAAACAGAAGAAGGTAAAATAGAAAGTACTTACTGGGCAGGAGAGATGGCTGATGGGTTGGCTGCAGGTAGGATGAGGGATGTTTGAGGTTTTGCTGAACCGATTTGTGACTGTTTCAAGATGATCGATGCGATAGGAATGGTTGCATATATACATTTAATGCAAAGAAAGTATATATAGAAAGCGGGATGTCTTCGCCTGAGTGTATTCGCTGATACGATTGAGCGGAGATCGTGTAGCTGGCTTGTAATCCTATAGTGAAACAGAACACTTGTATCGAAGGGGGAAGGGGCGTTGCCAGCGGAAGTCGTGCAGATACCTTCGCTAGAAATCGCAATTTTTCGTGGAAAGATTCGTTTGAATTATTTAAGGGACGGTACCGTAGACACATGAAGAACACACGTGTGATTGGAGTTGTGTGAATCCCTCAATTGCTGCCGGCAGGGATTTAGGGTATTTGAAACGGTGCATAAAATGATATTTTATCTTATCCACCAGATGAGTAGAGCGGGCCCTCACGATTTTTGATTTTCGGGTATATGTCATCTAAGTAAAATCACAGCGAGATGGAGCGGGGCGCGGATGTAACGAAAGACGTGGGATTTACTTAACGATCAACATGACAGATAGGAAACGTGGTGCGACTGGTTTCGCTGAAATGAATAAAGATTTGTCACGTGTTTTCATTGTGGTTGGGTGTAGATAGCTTGATTGCCTAGAGTGAAGTCAGCTGATCTATCGTGAAAATTGGATCGGGGTATAGATAATAGATACAATTTTGCTTCGAGTTACCCGATGCATACAGCGAAAGTGTCGTTCGAAGAACTGTGGAAGATAGTCTTCGTTCTCACAAAATCCTAATGGCAGGATGTGTTCTCTACATGCAGTGCTTCGTGGGGCCTTTCTTTTCTTGGTGGCACTTCCATGTCCATGTCCAACTTTGAGCCTTTTGAATTATCGGCAATGTCAAGACCTGGGAGTGCGTTCAGGCTAACATCACCGTCGGTATGACAATCTGATGATGATGGATCATGGACCAAGACGTTAACGCCCTATGTCTGCTCGGTATGCGATGAAACCATCATGCATGAAACAATGTGGAATGGTTGTTCTTCGATCAGTTAAAAAGGTTCAAGAACATCTACGTTGGGACAAAGTCTTCCAAGATCACCGGAGTACCGTTGTGAAGCTGTTGAAGACTGTTACCGCTTTAGGGATCCACCTGCGAGGGTTCTGAAGGGATGTCGAAGATGCTTGTGAACTGGCGCTTTCACCCGTGGAGTTTACGGGAAAAGGCGCAACGGTCGGAAATGGGCATATCCTGTTGCAAAGGATTCACGGGAAACTGAAGAAGGAGAAGCCTGAAACGCCACTATTGCTATTGTCAACAGCAATTTTGTTGGATGTGCACCTGATATCCAAGGAATTAACAGAAGTCGAGATAGCCTTTATTACGCCAGTGAAATCTTACGGGTACTGTTTTTCCTATGTTGGCGGAAGATGAAAACTTTGAAGGGGATAATGACCTTTATGCGGGTAGACTACATTGTGATTGGTCGTGCAACGCACATCTAGAAGCAATGGGCCTGAACAAGAATGTCGTGATACTGCTATCAGGAAAGATGACGCCAGACCAGAAAAAGAAGGCAACCGGAGTATTCGTACCGACAAGATCATGCTGCTGTGGAATGGCTGGTACAGAATAACCGGAGCTGAACCACGTTGATCTTGATGCGTACCGCAGAGAGTTAGAGGGTGTGACACCTGTGATAGTGGATCGCAGTTAAGAAGTCGAATCTGAGATTTCGAATGTGGAGCAACACGACTTTTCAGCTGCTACTTTCCGGATGTCTAGCTACTGAGACCAATGGTGGATTCGATAACATGAGCGAGTTCAAGACATTTGTCCAGGAGATGCAAGAGAGGGGTTCGATTTACAGCTCCAGCATGATCCTACAAAGGCTTTTTTACAAGGGACGGATTCTGATGCCTTGATTCAGTCGTTTTGCTGAACTCCCATATGGCGTCGGAAGTATGAAGGATTTCAGACTTGGAGGACGGATGTTGGAGGAACTGGACGAACACAGAGACTTCTGGCGCACTTTTGTCAGCTGTCCCAACCGGAATTTCATTCACCTATGTTCCAGTTGGTTTGTGTATAGTATTGGCAAAAATCCGACTTTTCAAGAGAGCCGACTTCAGTTGAAGGGGAATTTTCTGCAAAGGCAATTGCGGAAGGTCTAGATGGAGATGACGTGTCTAGGGCTATATCAAGTCGAAGAGCAGGGAATTATCAAGCTGGGTCTACTTCAAGCAAGTGCATACTAATGCCGTAAATGCTATCGGCAAAGCACTGCCCCACACAAATGAAGCAGCCAAGTTGGCTAGAGGTACCGCTAAATCAATGAACCACTACTTTGGCACGGGTATATGTATTCTTGACAGTGAGCTTTATGACGAAAACAGTGTGCTAATGGAAGTACTAAGCGGGAAAAAAGTGGAAGGGCCTGACGTGATTGGGAAGATGCAAGCGAGGAGATTCTCAAGAACGAAGCAAAGAACGGAGACAGCTTCGTTTAGATTTTCCAGCACTAGGAGCACTCAATTTCGATATGTTGTTCGACATTCTATGTGAGGAAGTTATAGGATGGGACTGCAATAACAACTGTGCTACAGAAGAGCCGGGACTTTTTTGGGAAGTGTTGGCGATGGCAACAGCATTTGAAGAAAAAGGTCGAAAGTCAGTGCACACCCATCTTACAGTTTGGATCAAGAATTTTTTAAGCTGCAAGAAGGTGTTTTGGGCGCAGCGAGATCGCAACGGAAAGAGATTTCCGACAAGTGCCTTTCAAAATACCACGAACGGATGGCCACCACAGAGATGTTCCCCAAAGATACCAGAACTCTCCTAGATCTTTCTGATCATGCTAGTAAAGTGTCCAAGAGTTATAGGGATCCCCCTGTGGTTGAGTCGGATCAGCTACTCCGTTACCTAATACATAAGAAGTGGTACAACGCTGTATCGTGAAAGTTTGCATACTGTGGATCACTGCGGATTGAATTTACTTATGAAGGATCTGTTGAACTGGGTATTACGACAGTGTAAGAATAATGGATCAGGAACCCGTGATGAGGGGAACATAGTGCCAAAACCAAGAATGCAGGCTCGTGTTTTGGATTTCCAGAAGAGTATCGGGGAAACAGTATCTGAAACACCTACAGTGAATATTAATGCTCTCTATCAACATCATACTTCTTGTCATTTCAAAGGATGCTTCAAGTGTAACAAGCTGGGTCGAGCGAATACATGTGGACCAGCGCCAAAGTGCGAATGTCGATACAGGCCTCCTGACAGGCCTCGGTCGGAATTCGAAAAGGAGGCGGAGACAGGTGAGAAGTAACACAGATGCACCACAGTGAGTATCTTATTGTGCGGATCCGAGGGCGACACGCTTTTCCCTCGGAACTCACGGTGAAAGCAGGAATTTACCACAGACTGCGCGATATAAGGGATATCTATAGCGTATAGACCCTGGTCCAGAATGCAGTGGACAAGAGAAGCTTCTATTTCTAGAGTCATATATGTTGCGTATAATGGCACACCAGCACAAGTCCGGGTATCCAGCTCTAATATATCGTGTTGGCGATTTAGCCCTGCTCTCATGATGATCCTCGGATTAGAGTAGACTCATGAGGTATAGGTGTCCAGACGCTACTAGACTCTATCGCAAGCAAAACGACACGAGGACCGGAGGTCATGCTTACTCTCCGATCCGAAAGCCGTTCGCGATATCTAGAGATACCACACAGCACTGCAATAATGAGAGACCGACTGCACACACTAGGCGGGGATCTCTCTTCTGTCGGTGGCCCTGTTCGTCGCACACCGAGTACCGTCTTACAGCCGACTGAGTACAAGTCTAACATGTATCAATAGTGGGAGCT